TACATGGATAGATATATCTATTTTTCTTGGGGCTTAAAGAGTTCAGCCTGTTTCTGGAATCTTTGTAAAAAATAATGTGTTATATGACTAGTGTCATCCATTTACTTAACCGTTAAACTATAATAAGGTACATTTCTCAGTATGTACCATGGGGTAATAAATATAAAAGAAACAAATTAAAAACAATGTGACTTAGTAAAGAAGTAGAGAAGTAAAACAAGAGATTACAAATAATAAAAGGGCGTTTAAAGCATTTAAATCGGACAAATCAGATTCATCCTATAAAAGATATAAGGAAGCCAATAATGCGTGCAAAAAGGCGATTAGAGTAGCTAAACTTCAAAATGAAAAATTGATAGCCAAAGAGAGCAAAACCAACCCCAAAGCATTCTTTAAGTACATAAATTCTAAAAAAAACAAAAATGAAAGTGTAGGTACACTAAAAACTGAAATGGGGGTGTTAGTTAATGAAGACCAGGAAAACGCAGGAATTTTAAATAACTATTTCTCCTACGTATATATTAAGGAAGAACCCATGGCAATAGATGTGCAAATGATTACTGCTAAAAACTTGCAGAATAATTGTAATTGGTTAACTCAAGACAAGGTGCTGCAGCAACTAAAGAAAGTTAATATAAACAACGCTCCAGAGCCTGACGGTATCCATCCACGAGTACTTAAGGAACTAAATGTAGAAATAAGTGAACCGCTGTTTTTAATATTTCAAGATTCTTTTCATTCAGGAAGTGTTCGGAGGATTGGAGGAAGGCAGATGTGGTTCCTATATTCAAAAAGGGTTCAAAATCCTTGCCTGGAAATTATAGACCTGTGAGCTTAACTTCTGTGGCTGGGAAAATATTTGAAAGGTTATTAAAGGGACACTGTAGGCACTGTATCTGCTTCATCTCATTAAACTGGTTATAGTGTATGGAGTCCCCTGGTGCCATCATTTCTTACAGCATTAAACAGTTTTAGTGTTGTAATGTTTTAATGCTAAACAATAGACCATGGCAGTCCATCCCCTCTGTGCTGCTTTGGCTAATAAGGAAGTATTACCCTGAGCAGCAATGGGCAGCTGTGATTGGCTGAGAGTGTCAGCTGACTGCTTTTAACCTGTCAGAGCTCCAACTGACGGTATGAATGGGTATGACAACAAGGAAGTGTGTAATCTCTACACATACACAAGGGGCCGGACTGTGGGTGTCCAGGGACTCTTATTTTGTGGCATACTGCACAAACATGGTGCAACACCGAATGGAGGGACAGTGCCAGGCCATTCCAGGCACTATAACCAATTCAAAGAGACAAAGTGGTTATAGTAACTACAGTGTCCATTTAAGGGATAATATTCAAGAATTCCTTGAGAAGAACATGGTTATCAGCAAAAATCGGCATGGTTTTATGAAGCACAGGTCATGTCAAACTAACTTGATTGCGTTCTACAAAGCAGTAAGTAGAAGTATAGATCATGGTGTTGCAGTGGATGTGATCTATTAGGATTTTGCCAAGGCATTTGATACAGTTCCACACAATAGATTAGTGTTTAAACTCAAGGAAATCAGTCTAGATGAAAATGCTTGTTCTTGGGTAGAACATTGACTTAAAAATAGAGTACAAAGAGTTGTCCTTAATGGTAAATTTTCAAGCTGGACAGAGGTGGCAAGTGGTGTCCCTCAGGGTTCTGTTCTAGGACCCCTTCTATTTAACATGTTTATAAATGATCTTGAAAAAAGCATTGAAAGTCATGTTTCAGTGTTTGCAGATGACACAAAACTCTGTAAAATAATACAATGTGAGCAAGATATTCCTTTGCTGCAGAGGGATTTAGATAGACTGGGGGGGCAGGGCACTCAAATGACAGATGAAATTAATGTTGAAAAATGCAAAGTTATGCACTTTGGCGTAAAGAATGCACAAGCAACGTATATCCTTAATGGAAGCGAATTAAGGATAACAACAACATTGTGCCTAGTTATTGTCATGCATGAAAAAGGGCATTCATTCTTGGGATGAGAATATCATTTTTCCTCTTTATAAATCACTGGTAAGACCACCTGTTGAATATGCTGTGCAATTTTGGGAAATGGTTCTAAAGAAGGATATTATGGCACTAGAAAAAGTGCAGAGGCGGGCTACAAAATTAATAAAAGGAATGGAACATATCAGCTATGAAGAAAGGCTAACATGTTTAAACATCTTTAGTTTAGAAAAACATGCCTGAGAGGGGATATTATAACATTATACAAATATATTCGGGCCAATTCAAACCATTGTGTGGAAATCTATTCACAAACCAGACTTTACATAGGACACGAGGTTTAGACTAGAAGAAAGAATATTTCTAAGGCAAAGGAATTTTTTTTTTTACTGTAAGAACAATAAGGAGGTGGAATTCCCTGCCTGAATAAGTGGTTTTATCAGAGTCCATACAGATGTTCAAACAGCTACTAGATGCATACTTGCAAAAACAGGATATTCAAGGATATAATTTTTCAATGTGGGGTAGTAACTGCTTGATCCAAGGATAAATCTGACTGCCATTCTGGGGTCAAGAAGGAATTTTTTCCCTAGCTTGTTGCAAAATTGAAAGTGATTTAAACTGGGGGGAGGGGGGGGTTTGCCTTCTTTTTGATCAACAGTAAAAAACAAATGTGATGAAGGCTGAACTTGATGAATGCAAGTCTCTTTTCAGCTATGTAACAGGTGTAGGCAAATGTTAACACTCCAGATGTTGTTGATTACATATGCCTTTATCCTTTGCCAGCATTTTGGCTATAAGAGCATTATTGGAGCAGTAGTCCACAACATCTGGAGTACAAAAGGTTGCATTCCCCTGTGCTATAGTGTCCATGTCCCAAGTGGTAATGGGTCCCTCCTGGTTTGAGGTCAGAATGGAGACTCTTTGCTGCCATAACGTTCTCAGGAGTGTCAATCATGAGCTGAATTGTCAGAAAGGAATACAACAGATTGAACACCAATCCACATGGATTGAGGATAAAAGCTCCAGGAAAATAACTTTGGAACTTTCTTGATATTCTGTTTTCCTAACAGATCTACTTGATCAATGCTGAATTTTCAGAAAGGAATACCACAGACTGAACACCAATCTATGGCTTGAGCGTAACAGCTCCTGGAAAAGAACTTGGGAACTTTTTTTGTTGTTGTGATTCTCCAACAGAGCTACATGAGGAATGCCCCATCCCAATACAATCTTCTGAAAAAGATCTTGTGACAATGACCATTCTCTTGGATGTATCAGAACCCTGATGAGGTTGTCTGCTACTATGTTCTCTGATCCTGATAAATGTATGGCTACAAATCCTGGAGAAAATGTTGTACCCAGGACATCAGTGGCTTTAAGATGTTAATCATTCTGTGACTTTTCGTTCCTTCTTGATGATTTATATATGCTACTGATGTGGGATTGTCAACTCCTTCAGACCTTCACTCCTTTTTTGTGAATACAAGTTGAAAATGCTTCAGGGCTTTGAAGACTGTTAGAAGATTGAGATCAGCTGTCTGATCAGCTGTCCCTTTGCTCCACAGTGCCCAATCTCTCTCATTAGCATTTACCCACATCTTTCTCCTTTGTTTCTGTTTCCCAAAGCTTGCAATCTCTATATTCATGATTTCTCTGCTCACTCTATGCCACATATTCTCTCCAGACTGTTTCTCTTTATTCCACTAGGGTATTTCACAAAAGTGAGAATTGTTGGGAATTCAAGGTGACTTTCTAATTTAATGCCCAAAAAACCTTACATGCCCAACAATTCTCACTTTAGTGAATAACCCTGTAATTGTATTCTATCCATTTCTCTTCTTTTCTGTTCCCTGTCTATTCATTAAACGTGTAGTTGCAATATAACTTGCAACATTTAGGCCAAAACAGAAGAGTTGTGTAAAGTCATCATCTCAATTTTTTCAAATCACTGTTTAGTGAATAGACTCCTAAGTGTCTAAGGGAAATCAGAGAGACCAGTGAGAAATTTAGGGAAAGGTAACAGACCGGGAATGCAATTAGGAAAGGGATAGAGAGATTGTTGAGGTATTTAGGAAACCGATACAGACTAGGAGACATTTTAGGAAAGACACAGGGAGCAGACATTTAGGGAAAAAAAGTTTGATGGGAGGACCTCCATTTCCCTTCCTTGTCTAAAGGTATCCCTGAGTTATGCTCGACACCCCCAATGACTGGCATCTGTTGTGAGGATGACCCATGAGATTTCAACTAGAGTGAATCCAGTGATGCTATTCTTTCTGTTAAGGCACCATAATAGGAGGTGATGAACTTTGGATGGAATTTTGATGAGCTGTTTTAGGTTGCCCATTACGAACTGATGTAAAAAAGTATCTTGTAGATTTTTCATCCTTCACTGTGCCCATCTTTTCACTCTTGCGATAACTATATAATGTCACTTGTATCAAAGAGAGCACTCAGGAAAATATTTCTGAGCAGGAAATAGGTAACTCTTGTCTACATTTTCCAAACTTGATAATGTAGGAGCTGGATACATTGATGCCCATTATTTAAAAATGGCTTTGTTACATGCAAGGACAGCATCTTCTTTTCTCAGTTCTGCAATTAGTACAAAAACCTTGGAAAAGGTAGACAGGTACAACAAAGGGAAGGGCTCTAAACAGAAAATGTCCTTCTTCCATTGCAAATCTCTGGAATGTTTTGTGTTGTAAAGCAATAGGAACAAGGAAATTGGCATCCTGCAAGTGTATTCCTATCATCCATTGGCCTGGAAACACAACCTTTGGAATAGAGTACACAATTTTTGGATTCTTAGGTACCCATATAGTCAGTGAAGATCCAGGATTGGCTGCTCAGCCACAAACAGCGCACCCTCAGCTCACAGACCCGTCAAATGGGTCGAAATAAACGGCCGGACTCTCACCCAGCAGAGGGATGGCAGCAGCAACAGCAGACCCCGGGCACACTAGACGGATACCTCCGAACCCTGGCCAGACAGACATGCGCGGCTCCGGGAGCCAAGATGGCCGACGGACAGGCCGCAGCACCACGGACCTCCGAGGCACAGGGCCCCTCCCTGGCAGACATAAGAGCGGACATTAGGGCCCTCACTGAAGCTATGGTCACCAAGTCAGACCTCCAGGCTCTGTTTGCCAACCTGCACGAGGCAATCAGGTCAGAAGTAGCCACCATACAGAGAGACATTGCAGCACAAGATGGCCGCATACAATCCCTTGAAGCCACGAATCAAACAACGGTAAACAGGCTGGAGGCTACCAACACAGCAATAACTAAACAGGGCACGATGCTCCTGCAACTGAGAAGATAGACTAAGATTTAGACAACAAGGGGCGCAGAGCAAACATACGGATTTGCAATTTACCAGAGGCTCAAGGTGCAGAAGATGTTGCAGCAACCCTCACGGCTCTCTTCATGGAAATTCTGGGCCCTGACGCCCCACAGAGATTCAAATTCGATCGGGCACATAGAGCCCTGAGACCTAAGATGGATGGTGGCCCGCCGAGAGATGTCATTTGCTGTCTTCATGAATATAAGATAAAAGAGCTCATTATGGCGAAAGCCAGAACCAAACCAACGTGGCGGTTCAGAAATTGCCCTATACCACGACCTATCCCCACTCACGCTAGAGGCAAGAAAAGCCCTGAGACCAATTACGCAACTACTGAGAAGCTGCAATATCCCGTACAAGTGGGGCTTCCCATTCTGCCTCACAGCAAAACATAACAACGAGTGGAGGTCCCTATGCTGGCCCGATGAGGTGCCAAATTTCCTACGAACCATGGGGCTGCCAAACACGGAAGTAGCAGATTGGGTCCTGGGCTCCCTGGAACAGAGAAACAATCAGCCAGCACAAAGAGCCCCGAGACGCCGCAGAGAGGACTCTCCGCAAGGCCTCCCAGCCCGCAGACACCAACCACCGGCCCAACAACAAGCACAACCCGGAGAACACTAGGCCGCACGGCAGACGACTATTGCCACAATGCAGTGCAGCCACAACGAAGAATCTCCCGCAGGCGATGAAGACCGGACATAGGACACAATGGACGCACAGATAAGTAATCTACACAACTACACATATAACGCTATAGACATTGACACATACCCCCATGACGCCCACCCCACCCAGAACACTGGCTGATGGCAACGGGGTCGGGCTAGGCCCAGAACTACCCACCATAAAGATGGTAGTAAAGACATGGCTACGCCGCAAAGCCCGCCACTTTGGGGCTGACTCATCACCAAGGGCAGTTGCTCAGCGACCCCACATAAACGCTTTTGGGAAAGACAGCATGTTGGGGAGGGGGGATACGACAGGCACGTGCAGAGGGAAAGAGACTAAAGGTCTTGAGCAGGACACACTACACCCGGATGGAGGGGAAAAAATGGAGACCTGAACACGACACGTGTCAACAGAAGCTTGGCACAGGCTGACAGCCGATAGGCACGTACGAGGGAACTGTGCGGGGGGGTGGAGGAGAGGCAGGGGCTTGAGACCTAGGAAACGGCTATCACGTTACCCCCGGGGGGCGAGGAGAGAAGGTCAAAGATCCTGAGACTCCGGGACGAAGGGGAGAGAGAGGAAGAAGAGAAGGCAACTGGGAACATGGACATATGGGGATATGCAATGCATGCGATAACACTCCTCCCCTGCTTCACCTCAATAGGCTTCACCTTTTTTTTTTTTTTTCAATACAGCTACATTGGTCGCACCCCGAATTGTTTAAGGTTATTTGAGGAAGGGTGAAGGGTGAGGGGGGGGGAGTAGATGGGGGGGTGGGGGGGAAAAGTTTAACTAGAAATGTATGCAAATGTATGTACATGATTCTCTGTATACTTGAAAGATGACACTGCCCCGCCTTACAGCAACCCGGAGGGGATATGGGGGAGAAACGAGGTGGCGAGTTGGAAGCCCAATCGGATACGGTCCCTAACAAGACGCAGTGCGGAGGAGTGCACTCCCCCACGCATACCACAGACCCTGACGACACCCATGACACGATAAGCCCTGACGGCACTACCACCACTACTCCCTCATAACAACCTGTAAGGGGCAGATCAGCACGTTCCATGAGTAATTGCGCACCAGCTCGCAACCATGCCCAATTGCCCACAGATACTCCCTGGAGACACCCTCGGCCCCCACCCCCAAATAACACTGCAAGTGCCCCCCGAATCGGCCCCTATGGGACCCGCCCCCTCTGCAAGAGACGACATCCCGACTCCCACCGTGAGCAGGACAACTGACAGCTTTATAGGGAGATGACTCGTTCCGCTAACTACACGTGCTATACAGACCTAGGCCTAGGTCACGACAGACGCGAACACCACCTCATTGACATGGTTACCATAAAGCTACTCATACAGTGCAACACGGTGCACCCGCTTAGCTACACATATAGCGGGAACGACGTCCCACACCACATTAATAGATTACTTCGATCACACTACAAGGTACAGGCCACTACCTGACGTAATACCCGTGTAGACTAACCATTGGGAGACTCACTGCCGACGCCCGGCCGGACGTAGACTCCGGCGGTACGGCTCTGACTATCTACCCAGTTACACGGAGCTTTCCCACATTGGGAGCTAGAATACAACCAAACGACACTTGCACCAACACACACACGGCAATAGAAGGAGAAGTGGGCAGCCACGTCCGACCCTTAGACACGAAAGGGAGGCAAATACTCACACACGACCACTAGCAACCCACGAAAGGATACACAACACACGAACACCACCCAGTCCTACCCCCACCCTATCTTACCCTCCCTGATCACCCGTGTCCATCCAAGAGGGAGCTCGCCGAGACGCACCTGGGCCGACCCGTAAGAGAGCGCTCGTGGGGTTCTAGGGGTAGGTACGGCGGCGCTGACCCATTTGGCACCGCGGGGAATACGAATGGCATACGTGCCATCACCCTTAGTGGTACACTCCCAAAACTGCAGAGGACTCAACATACCGGAGCGAAGGTCACACCTCTTGCGCAGTCTCAAACAACAACATGTATCAGTGGCAATGCTCCAAGAAATGCATCTCAGACCAGAAACAAACAAACTGCTCAAAGATAAAACGTATCCAACGAATTACTATAGTAAACCCCAACAGCGCGCAAAGCTGGAACGGCAATTCTCCTGGCATCACACCTACAATTCAAACCAATAGATACGCTATCGGATGCGGGAGGCAGATTCCTCTTTGTCAAGGGCGAGATAGCACGGAAGGTCTATACCTTTGCTACGGTATACACACCCAACAGTGGCCAAGCAAGCTTCCTCAGGAGAACACTGACGAAGTTATCCCGATTCACGGAGGGCGCCCTCGTACTGGGAGGCGATCTTAATGTCCCACTGGATCCTAAGATGGACACCTCCAAGGGCCATAGCAGTGTACCAACAGCGACGCTAAAGACAGTGCACAAAGCCCTCAGAGACCTGAGGCTGGTGGATACATGGAGAGCGTTTAACCCTGAGGGAAGGGACTAAACGTACTACTCCACTGTCCACGACAGGTACTCCAGAATCGACTATATCCTGGTGCAGCAAGAGGGACTCACGTACGTACAGAAAGCAGCTATCCTCTCCACGACATGGTCGGACCACAGCGCGGCACAGGCTACTGTGGCTTCACCCCTGTTCAGACCGACTAAAACAGCCTGGCGGCTAAACGACTCCTTGCTGACCGACGCGACGATGAGGGAGAAGATCGCAGAACACCTAAACCAGTATTTTGAGGAGAACGACACGGAAGACGTGACTCCCATGTCGCTATGGGAAGCTCATAAAAGCGTGATCAGGGGCCACCTTATCCGCATGGCCACCCAGCGCAAGAGGGAGGCCGACCAGCAAATCCGGGAGCTCGCACGACAAATCTCAGACCTGGAAGCGGTGCACAAACTGGACCAACAAGCACAGACCTACAGGACCCTGATAGCGACTAGAAAACAGTTGGCAGAGATCTTAGAACGCAGACATGCAAGAACAATACAGCGTTCGCGCGCCTTCTTTTACACACACGCCAACAAAGGAGGCAAACTCCTAGCACAGATGCTGAGAGGCACACAGGGCAGGGCACAGGTACAAGCTATACGCACCACACACAACCGTACCACACAATTTCCGGAAGAAATTGCGAATGAATTTAAAAAGTTCTATACTAAACTGTACAATATAAACGAGGACGAAGGAGATCCCCCAAGGGCCGTGAAACAGAGAGACACGGAGGCATACCTGAGGAACTTCCAACCGAACGCCCTCACATCGGAAGAGGCAGAGGAACTCGAAGCTCCGATCACAGAAGGAGAAATCCGACTAGCACTGAAAGAAGCGAAAACAGGGAAAACACCGGGCCCGGACGGCTTCCCGGTGGAATATCTAAAGAAATTCGGACACACCCTCGTACCACATCTCACCAGAGCCCTGAACAGCCTGAGAGATGGCACAACCTTCCACAAAGAGACTCTGACCGCAACAATAGCGGTAATCCCGAAGCCGGGCAAGAATACCGAACAGGTAGGAAACTACTGCCCAATCTCACTCCTCAACGCCGACGTCAAGCTGTTCTCGAAGGTTCTGACTAAAAGACTACAAAGACATATGACTAGACTAATACACCCAGACCAGACGGGCTTCATACCTGGCCGAGAGGCCAGAGACAACACCCTAAGGCTCTTCGCCATACAACATCTATCAAAGAAAATGGGAACGAAGCTACTACTGCTGTCAACGGACGCTGAAAAAGCCTTCAACAGAGTAGATTGGCACTTCATGACGGAAGCACTACGTGCGACAGGTATCGGAAACGGCATGTTCACATGGATCACGGCACTATACAACCAACCAACTGCCAGGATTCGAGTAAATGGGGCACTCACGGATGACTTCCACATCAAGAATGGCACGAGGCAGGGTTGCCCACTATCACCCCTACTATTCGCCCTCACGCTGGAGCCGCTTCTAGACAGCATCAGGAAAAATGAAGGAATATTGGGCTTCAGACACGGAACGCATGAACACAAAGTGGCAGCGTACGCTGACGACATACTATTCTTTTTCGAGAACCCGCTTACCTCCGCCGCCCAGTTAATGTCGGAATTCGAAACATATGGACGCTTGTCTGGACTCAAATTGAACCTGACGAAATGCAAAATCTTAAACGTCACCGTCCCGGAGGAAGAATGCGCTCAGTTTAAACGGCTATACCCCTTCCACTGGTGCCCAAGCCGAATGAAATATCTTGGGCTGTGGGTCACACGCGAGGCCAAAGACATCTACGCCCAAAACCACATACCCCTCCTGCAGACCATTCTCGAAGACCTTAAAAGATGGCACTACCCCCACATATCTTGGCTGGGAAGAATTGCAGTGATAAAAATGAATGTTTTACCGAGGCTACTCTACATATTTCACACAGCCCCACAGATGATTCCGCAGGCATTTTTCAGGACACTCAAAACAGCAATCACACAATATATTTGGAGGGGGGAGAAGGCCCGCATTGGCTTTGACAAGCTCTGCTTACCAAGAAGCTGGGGAGGGTTAGCCCTGCCCGACATCAGAAAATACCACCAGGCTACAGTACTGCAGAGGCTCAAGGAACTCCACACGGACACACCCGACAGAAGGTGGGTTACGCTCTGGAGGGAATCCACCGAGAAAAGATTACACACACTGATTTGGCACAAAGAAGCAGACGCACACATAATACTGGGAGAAGACTCCCCACTTACACACACCCTGAGACACTGGAACAAGCTGAGGAAAGGACAGCAGATCTCACCCAAACCCAGCCCGCTGATACCGATCACGTACAACCCTAACCTGGGGGACAGCCTCCCGCCAACGGCTTGGCCGATGTAGCACCAAGATGGATACATACCTATCTACGCAACTCTAAGCAACACGGGAGTGAAACCACTACGGGACATATTGGAAGAGAGACCGCACACACTACTGCACCAATTCCGTTACGCCCAACTAACCCACTACTACCACAATCTACCTCATAGAGCCAAAATACACAGGGACCTCACGTGGTTCGAGAACCTATGCACTCAGACAACAGCGACTACAGGGAGGGTCTCCATGATATATCAAAGCATTCTGACAGGACATAGAACAGAAAACACCCTATACAATCGGCAGTGGGAGGAATGGACGGGGGAATCTTTTGAGGATAACCAGTGGGAAAAGATCTTAATCCTACAACACAAAAGTTCCATTAGCTCCCATTACCAGGAGGTGAACTACAAGCTCCTTACACACTGGTATCGCACCCCCTCCCTGATAAATAGATTTGCACCAACCATCCCAAACATCTGCTGGAGATGCGGAGACAGCCCCAGTTCCCTGAAGCACATCTGGTGGGACTGCGATAAAATTAAACCGTACTGGGGGAACATTAAGCAGGAAATAGAATGCATCCTAGGAGACCCTGTGGACCTTACAATGGGAGCCGCTCTCATACACCACACGGATAGACCCATACCCTCTTACAAAAAATCAATTCTGCGACACCTGCTAAACGTGGCGAAATCCCTAATCCCACTGCACTGGAGGGATGAACATATACCCACAGTGGAACAATGGAAGACTAAAGTCGAAGACATAAGAAGGGCAGAAGCCAAAATAGCTGAAACAATAGGCAAGGAGGAAAAACATACAGAGCTGTGGACACCCTGGACGCAGAAACAATACACCCAAATGGGAGAGCTGGGACGGGCCCGGGACTGGGCCCAGACGCGACTCGGAATGAGGCGGATACCCACCCTCACTCTCCACATCCCTTACCCTCCCCCCCACCCCCTATCTCCCCTCCTTATCCTCATACGGGGAAAGCCTTCACACACACATAATATGCAGGAACGTGGGCGACGAAGGAGACACTCACACCAGTGGCAGATATTACTCACGAGTAGAATAGAAAGGACACATAATAAACGTCGCAGACAAGGAGCACACAAAACAGCTATACACACAAGTAACACATGCTGAGCTACCACGGACACAACAACAAACTCATTAAACGCCAGAAACAAGACAACGCAACTCTCTACACCCAAGTTAACACCTAGACACACGACTAATACGAAACTACAAAATGAAAGTTAAAAACCTACGCACAATGACGTCACAGGACAAGGGAAAGAGATAATTAGTAAGGAGACATGCCACAACCGTTCAGATACGCAGAAGGAACAGACAAGACATCTGATGACAGAACCGCAGACTCGCGACAAACAGAAAACTCGGGTCAATACGTACCAATCCTACTACACCCAGACGAGCCACAAACAATGACTGAATAATTCCGACACGTAAACAGCACTAGCGAGACTGAACGGAGCCCGGACAGTTTCCCACCCTAATGCCCACGATCAGACTAACTCCTGGGTACACAGTAACAATTGGTGCACTCAAAAACCATAGCTGTGATGCTAGAAATTACCAGGGACCTGCGAGTCCGGCAATATTGTGGGCCTGCGAGCCCGAGAACGTTCCCACATGTCATGAAAACTACACCAATGAATGGTGCTCGTATTGTTGCAGAATGTGATATGTCTCTTGGGACCTGCGAGTCCTATTTTTTCTTGACTTAGATAACACAAATAAAACAAATTTACAAAAAAAAAAAAAAGATCCAGGATTGGATCTTCCACTAATTAACACGCACCAATATTTTCTTGGTTGGGAACAGGTGACAGTAGACAGCAAATGTTCTCTCTTTTATTGGGACCTCTGTAATGACTCTTTCCAGTTTTTAAGTATGACTAATCCTTGCAAAGTAGTTATTTTTCTTTGTCTCCAGGTCATCTTGTTTGGAAGCTGTGACTTGGAGGATCATTATCAAATTCTAAATGATAGCCTCTTTGAACAATATCCAAAACCCATTTGTTTTGAACTGATTTCTCCCAAACCTCTCAGAAAATGAGCAGAATGGCCCCTACAATACCAAGTTTGGCAGTTGTGCTTCATTTGGACTCTTATTGTCACATCTGCAGATTATCCTCCTCTCCAAGGCTGAGTTCTCCAATACTCCCTTGTGGGATAAAAGGCCAGTTGTCTCAGGAGGTTGAAAACTCTGCTGCTCATCTGTCTTAAAATGTTTTCTTTGGTCTGAGATATTGCAAAAGAAAAGCTTTTATGCCTTCAGCTTTTCTCTTTATAAATACATCCAGGTTTTTCACAAGCAACATTTCTCTTTAAAGTGGTAGAGAAAATAGGCTATTCTTGGAAGAAGTGTCCACCGACCATCATCTAAGAAAGAGGGCCCTTTGGCTAAAACTTAAAGGGCCATGTTTCTGGCTAAGGCTTTAACCATAATCCTCTGAAGATCTGTAGCCAGTTTAATATACTGCAGGCTTTGTGGTCTTCATCATGATTCCCAATCCATAGCTTTAGAGCCCCAGATACAAAGTTTAGGATTACTGCAGAATGTAGCAGCATAAACTTTGGCTAACTTCAAGTTCATTCTGCAATCCTTTGAGTCTCTTGAGTCTCGTGAACCTGCATTGGCCACTAGCCATGTGGTGGGTTAGGCCAAAAAAAGATATAAATGGGACATCCATCCCTGAAGACTGAATTTATTTTCTTTCTTCACCCATTTTTTCTTGATAAGGTCTTAAATAGTTTCATTTTGTTTTTTAAAGTTGAAGGAATCTGTATTCTTCAAGGTCAACAACACAAGGCACAGTACTGGACCGAGGCTTGCATACCCCAATACACATTTAAAATAATAGCGATGGTCCAGACACTCAGGGTGACTAATAAGACAGTTTTAAAGATAAGTGCATATTACAAGCAGCAAGCTGTGTAGCTGTGTGTGACTAACACGTCTGTTCTTACTTAGTGCTCTTCATGGTTTATTCTTTCCTGCTACCTGCACCTTTCAGCATTTAGCCTTCATTTTACTCTCACTCTTCACTGCAACTCTCACAGTGTCTCCATTGCTAGGCAAATTATCTGTGTTTGGGTCTGTTTCCTATACAACAGAAATCTATGCTTACACCTCCTTTCAGTGTTTTAAGTTCACCAGCTTTCAAGCCACCCACGTTCTTGTTCCCTTCCTCACCCACCCTCTGCCTCATTTACACTCATTTTTAGTATTTGGCATCCTACTTAACATTATACCTATGCATTAGCCTATTTTAATAAAGCATAATTTATTTCACAACAAATTATTTATTGGATTCTACAAATTTGGCTGGAGTTAACACTCAAACAAGTACCTAAACTGGCTGTGGTGACTTCTAGTGCCACATTTAAGGTTGCTATTATATGTAAGGCTGGTATATATGGCTTAACATTTATAGTCCAATGCTACTAACCAGACCTTAAAAGTTACTCACCACTGCAAGCCATAGTCTACCCTCCAGGAGTATTTTTCTACTTACCAGGGCTTGTTTTTTCATATCCTATGGCTAGTGGCAAGTGGAAATTTTGAACTCTGTACATAAAAGCCCTGTATATATGTAAAGTAAAAGCTTTCTAAATTTTCTCACTCACTCTGGGTTGCTCAAGGTTGCTGCTTCATGTAGGTAATATGTTAATTTACTATATCTTTTTTTTTTTTAATTCTTTATTTTTTCAGTGCATAAGAGTGGTACATGTGGTTCTGAGGTGCCCCAAAAGCAATCCTCAGGCATTTCCTCGCTTAACATGCGGGGCATAGAAGTAACAAGCACAGTTTTATATTTTAGACAAGCTTGGTTAAGAAGATTTACACCGATTATATTAGTAGAGGTAACATGCTAGTAATATGTGGATCACATAAAGAAAATATGTACACAGGGTTATGCAGGTGAGTATTCTCATCGATAGGGAGACATATTTGTGTTTGCAAAAACATGCTAGGCTAGTAACTAGGCTAGTAGCTAGCTAGGCTAATAAGGCAAGTAACATGCTAGGCTATCGTTGATACTTCAGCAGGGCAGCCGTTAGAGTATGCTAGACTAATCAAAACAGTGTCTCTTAAGTGAACGTAAGTGATTGTAGTAGCATGCATCGGTAGGTATTAACTTTCCTCTGATACAAAGCAAATATAACTTCGTTGGTGATAACTATGCTATGGGGACTAAAAGGGGGAAAGGGGACAGCAAGACAGAAGACAATCGAACCCCTAATGGATAATCAGGGACAGTAGGCATAATATCAGTATGCCAGCTTGTTACAAGTGTCCCCATTCACCCTATACCAGAGGTCGGCAGGCTTACAGCATAGGTCTGGGAGCATTCAGAGGCATTCCGTGCAATAGCTGTCTCCTGTCTTGCGGCTGTACAGTCCCAGCTGCGAGCAGCCGCTTGAGCTGGCCTCCCGGCTTGTCTGCGTGCATGTCCCTGGTCTTGTTGAGCGTACTGCGGTACGTATTCTCGTAGGTGTGCTCGGTATTGCGAGCCTCGTAGACCCGTCCACCTTCGGGTGCCAATGCACCGGGCTTGTTGGGGTCTGCTCCTCCCGCTTTTCCTCCTCACGGGGGTTTTGCCGACACCTCTATGCTTGTCCGGGCTCCGATGGGCAACAGTGGGTGCATGCCTCTCGGGTGCGATGGCTTGTTGCTGGCGTGTAGCCGGTATACTTGTCCCGGTCGAGGGCTGCTCAGGGTGCACGGCCCTGGCTAGTTGTCTTGCCGTGGGTGTTCTGGGTTTCTTCCCGAGATTTAGTGGCTGAGGCAGCCGGTGTTTATGTGCTAGCTTAGCCCAGAACTGCTCCCACATGGCTTCGAACCTTGCATTAGAGGCAGCCTCCCAGTCGCTGAGGGTCTGTAGCTGTGTGTGGGTGATGATGCCGTCAGCCATTTTGATAGGGCCTCGTGGCTCTCTCTTGTCCTCCGCGCGCCTAAGTGCAGCGCTTGGTTAAGTATTATCCGCTCTAGTGTGTGGACTGGGATGACCCCCACCGGTCCTGGGGGGGGAGGCGGGAGACTTTTCCCCGGGAGTTCGTTCCCTGCTCTCGTGCCCATGGAGCGGCCGTCTCCTCGTGGCTCGGTAGCGAGTAGGCCGCAGGCCTCGATATGTTCGGTCTGCTAGTCCAGTGCTTGGGAGAGGTACCGTTCTGTGCAGCAGCCCCTCCCGGTTGTGGATCTCTTGGTCTGCGGCTGTTGGGTAAAAATTTGTGGGTTTAATTCCCAGTATTCTGTCCCCAGACATGGGAGCTCTCTCCAAACACGTCTGGGCTGCTTGGCTGCATGGCCCCGCCCCCTAATTTACTATATCTAAGCAGAGCTGGTGCAAGGATTCCTGCTACCCTAGACAAAGATCCATTTTGCTTCCCCCTCTTTAATGCAACTACATTATCTCAGAAGTTTATTTAGTATACTCTGAATTGCAGTGAATTGGAAACCGAATTGCATAGTTTAGGCAAAAACAGCTGAACTTTGACTGTATAATAACAAATCTTAGTGAACCAAATAACAGGCAAGTGATATATAAAAGTGCAAACATGTGCAGGCAAGCTACTGGTAATGGGAACACTCCCTAAAAACCCTCCAAAATATATGTACAAAAAAACTGTATAAAACCAAAGTTAAAATACAGTACAGGGCGCCACAGTTACAATATGTGAAGTAGATATAGTTACCACTTTGATGAGGAAAGGATAAACCACACATGGAAAAAAAAAACATAAAAAATCACAGACTTTAATTAACAATTGTGAATAAAAATTAATACATAGAACA